TCCAAGTGAACGGTGTACAAATGAACAGCACGCATCGTTCTGTGTCCAAGTGAACAGTGGACAACTGAACGGTGTCCAAGTGAACAGTGTCCAAATGAACGGTGTCCAAATGAACGGTGTCCAAGTGAACGGTGTCCAAGTGAACAGTGAGCATCCTTCTGTGTCCAAGTGAACTGTGGGCACTTGAACGGTGTCCAACTGAACTGTGTCCAAGTAAACGGTGTCCAACTGAACGGTGTCCAAATGAATGGTGTGTAACTGAACGACGTGCATTTTCTATCGTGTCCAAACGCACCGTGTCCAATTGAACTGTGTGTCAAATGCCGTGTCCATTTGCAACGTGTCCAATTGTACTGTGTCCAAGTGCACCGCTCCCAAAATTTAAGCTTTAAGTCCTAAGCCGTAAGAAGTTGACCAATCACAGTCAATTATAAAAAAAATAATTGACTGATCAATTTCTTACGGCTTAGAGTTTAAAGCTTAAATTTTAAGGCTTAAGTTTGTTATAATCGCGAACATTATTAGCGATTTCGAAACACTTCATGAGGAATTGTTTCGAAAGCGCTACAACAAGGAAGCGGTTGTACAATTGCTGCGATAAGCACCACCTTGCACATTCCGCATTTCGGACCTCGATTCGAAACGCATTAAACCATTACCAAATATGGTAGTCTTCTTGTCGCTAGGCACCCCCTCCGACAAGACTAAACAATATTATAAAAAAGCGGAGAAGACCGCCCGCGTCAGACTTAACACCTCGGTCTCTCGCCGCGACATACGCGACACGCGGTTTGCACATTACTAATAAAACTCGGGAGTAATAATTAAACACGTCCAAGTACAGTTACAAATAAAGCTTTTATATTTAAACTACAAGTAACGGCTACAATCTTTTACTACTTTCCTATCTGCCGCCACACACCCAGCCGCGCCCGAGTCACCGATTCCGAACTCTCTCGCGTCCCGGCAACACGGAGCACAACAAATTCTTATAGTAGACCACACTTTAGAGGCTTTCTACAATAAGCAATAAGTTTTAAGTTGCAATAAAATTGACCAATTACAGTGGATTATTCTTCTAATAGTCGACTATGATTGGTCAATTTTGTTATGACTTAAGATTTATTGCTTATTGTAGAATGGGCTTTACAAAAAGCATATTAATTGTTTATCGTGTGCAAATTTTCGTCGTGTGGCAAGTGTTGCCGCGTTCAGTAATTCACTAGAAAATTCTCATCATCGATTGGTTATGTCCAATCGTACCGTGGTCAATCGGAATGCTTCCTTGTTCGAGTTGCTTGTACTTTTACACTTTTACACCAAATGCCCGTTGCACACTAGTGCACTCCAAACAACATAAATTTTCAAAAATACATTCTGAAGACGTTTTCAGGACGGGGAGACGTCATCAGAATATTCTTATGACGTCCTTTGAAAGTGTGAATTGTCTGAAAATAGTTAATATCCAATAAGTTTATTCACATTAATTGAATTTTTTACACTTTAACATTTAGTGCACAATAATTCTTTAGAGGTTCTAAAAATGGCGGCATGTTTTCCGTTCGTGTTATGGCTCCTGCAAACAAAACGCGGTAATGCTTGTCGCGCGGCGGAAGTTCGCGCGACAGCCAATCAATATGTGGCTTTCCGTAAGAGCCAGAAGGTTATTACTAAAAAAAAAACGATTCCGTAATAACCTTCTGGCTCTTACGGAAAAACAACATATTGATTGGCTGTCGCGCGGACTTCCGCCACGCGGCAAGCATTACCGCGTCCTGTGTGCAGGAGCCATAACTCTAAGGACTATCGCACACAAAATGCATAGAACATAACGTTGCATAAGGGCTATCGCACACAAATTGACATAACTGCATATGCATAGCATAAGATCGTATGGACCAATGAGCATCGAATATTAAGCATCGAACACCAATATGGCGACTTAATACTCGATGCTCATTGGTACATACGGTCTTATGCTATGCATATGCAGTTATGTCAATTGTGTGCGATAGCCATAAGCATAAAAAAGATATGTAACCTACACAAATGTACATAGACATAAATGGTCTGTTCTTTTCAGCTGCACTATGAAAGTTTTGGCCAATCAGAATTGAGGAACAATAATTGCCATTGGAAAACATATTCCTAACTTAAATATTACTAATATGTGTCAAATTTGTGTAGAACTCGCGACGTAGGTGTTTAACACTAAAATAATTAAACAATATATTTTATAAAAAAAGATTTGTTAAAATGGATACGTATTATTATATTTACACCGCGATAATATCAGCAAGTTATTTATTTTTGCGAAAGCGTAAGCAAATAAAAAAAAAACGATTATGGATACGACCTATAAATGTACGTCGATTTGGTGATTTCCAACATCTTTTTCAAGAACTGAAAGAAGATAGGACAATGTTCTTCAAATATACGAGAATGAATCTGTTCAGTTTTAATAAGTTATTAGATATATTACAACCTCACCTAGAGAAAAGAAATTGGAGAGCATTACCGGCAGAACAGCGGCTTATTATTATACTCAGGTAGACATAAGTGTTTTTAATTTTTATTTGAAATTTAATGTTTTCGCTTATATTTAATAATTTTGCTTTCCTTCAGATTTCTTGCAACAGGAGATCAAGTGTCTTCAATTGCATTTGCACATCGAATATGTGAATCCACTGTGTACAAAATTATTAAAGAAACAGCCACAGTGACAGTAAAAGTTTTAAGTCCCATGTATTTAAAGCCACCGAAAAAAGAAAACTGGAAGAAAATAGCTGCTGGATTTTGGAACAATTGGAATTTTCCCAATTGTATCGGAGCGATCGATGGGAAACATTTTATTATCAAAGCACCTCCAAACTCTGGTAGTTTATTTTTTAATTATAAAAAAAGCTTTAGTATTGTATTATTAGCAGCATGCGATGATCAATATAAATTTACGTTAGTAGACTGTGGTACATATGGCAGCGCAAGCGATAGTGGAATATTTGCACAATCAGAATTTGGAAAGTGCTTAAATAATAACAATCTTAATATACCTATAGGAAATATTCAGTTGCCTCTATCAGATATAGAGATGCCATATTATTTTGTTGCCGATGAGGCATTTCCTTTATCGAAACGAATTATGCGACCTTATCCTGGACAGTTTTTGAATGAAAAAAAGTCTATTTTTAATTACCGATTATCAAGAGCTAGACGTATTATTGAGAATTCATTTGGAATTCTTTTTGTCGAAATTATTCAAGACTTTTAGTTTCTGATTATCAAGTAAACCCCTATTCAGAGGGTGTATATCAGTTGGACACGGGGCAATTGGACACAGTCCAATCACAAGTCGCTGTTCCAAGGGACCCTACAAATGTCTCTAATCACACGGTGCTGTGATTGGCTGTGTCCAAATGCACCGTGTCCAAGTGCACTGCTCCCCTATTCAGATCTTCAATTCTTTTGTTATTATTGAAAGCTCTCAAGACGTTCCATACCTTTCTAGGTTCAGAGTTTAAATTTAGCGTATTATAAAAACTTTTAAATTTTTTCTTCTTGATCTTCCTCAGTTTCTTATTCGCAATTCTGCTTTCCTTCTGATATAGAGCAAGGTTTTCGGAATTTGGAAAAAATTTATATCGTTTGTACGCGAATAACTTATCTTGAATAATTTCACGACAGTCATCGTCCCACCAGGGCGATGGTAGTCTTCGAGGTGTGGTACTCTCTCCAGGTTTACGAGCTCCAGCCTCTATTAAAGCTTTATGGATGAGTTTCTCGAGTTCAGCGTAAACCTTGGATGGACTAGAAAACTCTATAGAGTTGCGATAATCTTGTAGATGAAGAGAAAATTCTTCAAGTCGGTGAGCAAAGAAACTCCAGTCCACTTTGCTGACAGTATAATGCGGCCGCATATGAAGCCTAGTAGGAAGGATATGATTAATGTATATTATTATTGGGTGGTGGTCACTACCATGCTTCTCATCACACATGTTCCAGTCTACCTGCATGCTAAGGTTGCTAGAAACGAGGGTGAGGTCAGGAGAACTAGTGATTTGGCCGTTAGATGAAGACCAGGTGGGAGTGTCATGATTGGCAATTAGGAGATCGAGGTCTATTAAAATATCGTGAATAATTTTGCCAGTGTTATTCGGAATAGAGCAAGAGGAAATCCAAGAAGGATGAGAACCATTGAAATCACCACAGATAACATTCTTAAAAGAATCAAGATATGATAAAACTTCAGATCATAACTCGGTTCGATTTTCACCAATATATCTGGAAGAAGAAGGAGGACAGTATAGAGATATTAAACACAATTCAATATCGTTGTTGAAAAATTTTAAACCACAGATGTCCATATCCAAAGCTTGACGCGCCTTATTTATCCAGTAATTGGAACTAAGATTGATAACGTTACTATTATTTGGGAGCAGTGCACTTGGACACGGTGCATTTGGACACAGCCAATCACAACACCGTATGATTAGAGACATTTGTAAGGTCCCTTGGAAAAGCGACTTGTGATTGGACTGTGTCCAATTGCCCCGTGTCCAACTGATATACACCCCTATTATTTCGCTTTGATAGATTATAGCGCATCCACCGGAAGAGCGTGATCTATTACAGTTAATTATTTTATATCCTTTTAAATTAAAAATAGAGTTTTCATCCATCCAAGTCTCACTGAGACATATAAAATGCGGAAAGGGGTTCAGTTGAGAGATATAGTTGATTAATTCAAACTCTCTCTTTTATATGAGCGACAATTCCATTGGATAATATTAACCTTACTAGATTTGCCCATTTTGAGGTCTATAGAATTATTATTAATTTTATTCTTAAATAACACACAGAGAGGATTTAATGTCTTGCAATTGAGAAGAGATAGATAATAAGAGAGAGTTTGAATTAATATTATCGTTAGAATTGATCATATTATTTATCAATGAATTAAACGAGTTGGTAAGAGTGATTATATTATTTTGTAAATGTAGATATTTAGCATCGTTTGTAGAGTATGTAATTCCTTTTTTATATTTGGAAGTAGTTGGGATATTCAAAACCAAGGGGGAAGTATGCGGGGGTTCTCCTGGTTCGAACGAAACCAGAGTATCCTCGGGAGAAGAATAGGGTAAATCTAAGAGGGGCGTGGGTCTAGGGGAGGAGGTGTTATGATGATTGGGGAGGATTTTACTTTCTTTTTTGTGGAAATTAAAGGATTGATGTTATTTTTGTAAGAAGGAAAACTTTTTGTTGTTATTGTTATTTTTATTTGGATATTTAAATGATTGTAAAATAGTAGTAAAGTTATTTTTATCCATAAAGTCATTGGAATAGGTTGTGTTGCATTTATCCGATAACATATCACTGTAGGATGAGATCATTGAAGGAACATGCTTAGCTACAAAAGAGTTAAAGCATTCTCGATTGCGGTTGGATTTTTGAAGGCAAAGGGAATTTTTGAACCAGGAGGAAGGAATCACATCCACATACCTCCTGTAAAACTCTCTAGCATCCCTGTTGCTAATCCCGAGAATGGTCATAAGTTGTTTAATCTTTCTGTTTTCAACGAAAACTGGACAATGTCTAGGTATAGCTTCCGGAATGGAAAACTGGACAAGTATGACTATTGGCTGAATGAGCCGAATCTTCTAACCTTTTCCTAGTACAGTTTATGCATTTGAAGAGCAGGGAGGAACACCCTGCCTCACAGTGTCCAACTGCAGCGCACTTGGCACAAATTCTCGAAGATTTAGTGCTGCGACACTGTTCTTCAACATGTCCGAATCTTTGACATAAGTGACATCTTATAACCTTTTGAATATAAGGCTTTAGATTGATAATTTTCCCGTATAGGGAGGCTCTATCAGGGTAGAGCCTTATAGAGATATTCCTTCGAGAGAAGGAATTTCTTATAGAGAATAGATCCTTCGAAGGTGATTATATAAGCCAATACTTTCCTTCTGCGTGGAGCATCAGTATTTGTACGATCAGATGTATTATCAGGCTTGGAGATACCTTTAACAGCCACAACTTTCGGCCATGGGTCCAGCCAGCCAGGCGGAGGAGAGAGGTTCTCTTGGATTTCCTTGTCACAGTCAATATTGTTAATATCCCAGGAGATGCAGATACGTTGTATTTTGTAGTTAGGGATATATGCTATCCAGTCTGAATGCGAGAACAGAAGATCTCTCATTTCCATAAATCTTCCTACTATGGAATTAGCAGCGTCTCTGCTATTAAATTTAACAGAGAATTTGCTACGACCGACGTTTTTTAAATCATATGCTTCATTCCAAAGATCTCCCATTATTTTGAGCGCCGCTTTCCCTAGCTGAAGTTCGTTAACAATGGGGGGCTCTTGACAAGCAGATAATGATTTGGTAGAGATGAACCCTTCGATACGTACCTCGAACAATCCTAGGTGCGATAGGGGGTATTTATTTTTGCTTAATTTAAGCAAATGTGGAGGCACGTCTCTGTAGGGCCGTTTTTTCGCTTCACCCTTGAAAGAGTTAGACTCAGATTGCGTGGGATCCTTTACTACGTCTTCGCACAAGGCGTTGGACTTTCGTTTGGTGGACGCTCTGGCTGCAGTTTTAGTGGTAGTCAAAGTCTCTCGCAATTGCGAGTCTTTTTCCGCAGTCAACTTGGGTGACGTCATCTTGCTATGAACCAATGGCAGACAAAGAGCCAGGCAAAAACTGATGATATCTCGATGTAGAGGTGGAGAATTATCTCTATTTCCAACGGAATCTTATAAGATTCACGCTTTAAGAATCGGTTAAGATCTTTCGGTTAAGAAGTTCGTTATTATAACAACGATTTATGACGATTTTTAAGAGGGCTACACAAATGCGACTAAGTACAACTGTTGCCAACGTAAAACTCCGGGTTATGTGCTATTACAGTAGCATAATTGCCAGAAGCTCTAGCTAAACGACCCCTGTCCCCAGTTTTCTCTTCTAAATTACAGACAATTGTACCTTCTGGCATTGTACCAACTGGCATTACATTCCCAATCTGGAGATTTGCTGAAAAATTAAACACATTTAACATGTGTAACAGGAAACACAATGATTGAGTTAGTATTTATTGTTGTTGGAATATTTTTCTAGATATTGTATGAATTTAAAAGAATATGCCAATCAAAAGTGATAATCATTCAATAGTTGTACACTTGTGGTTGGAAAGGTTCTTTTTTTTTTTTTTGTAAATTTAGGAACCTATTTTTTTGTTTAATGAGATAATTTATTTTCCAATAAAAAGATCTTATTGGACAAGACAGATAGATTCTGAAACTTACAAAAAAAAAAAAAAATAGATAATATTCCAACCATAAGTGTACAATCATTGTGCTTTCTGAATATAGCTAGTATTATAGATAAAGTATTGATTTTATATCACGTTTAATATTGTTCACTTAAACAATAAAAACGTTATCAACTTCAGACATACCTTTTTTTCCACAGTATAAGAATTGGCCTGTGTATATGCCTTCAGGTGCAATAAATAATTCTTTGCGTGTTTTGAACTTATAAGGATCATGGAAATGTACCACTGCTAGTGGTGCACCACGGCCAAGATCATGAATGATGTCCTAATGAAAAATAACAATCTTCTCACTTCTGTGCTTTAGTCATTTAAGAAAACATTTTCCAAAGTATATGTATCCTCAGAAAGAGATTCAAATTAAAAATTTTCATACATAATACATAATTTCAAACATTAAATTATCACATATACGAAACTGAATTTATAGTAGGATTAAGTTATAATAATGTTTCACATAGCAGAGAATTAGAATAAGAGATTGTTACGAACCTTAATGACACCTTTGATGTACCCATGCCTTTCAGAAAAATCCAAGGAACGGAGCTTCGGTGCTCCCTTCCTCTTTTTTGTATGGGATCGAAAGACAGATCCCGCACCTTTACGCTGAGCACGAATTACTCGACCCATGTTAATTCGAAGCTTATCAAGAATTAAAATATTAAAGTATTAAATATTGTATATAAATATGGATAATGTTCTTTACACACACAACATGCACATAACATGTATTAAGGACCGTCTACAGGATAGAGACCCTACAATTAGAGACTGGCTAAGCTAAAAAATATGCCCGGAAAATGGCAGCGATAAATACGTGAGCTCGATGTGTGTGCGTGTTGATCATGAACTGTGGGCTGCGACTCGTGTAACATAATTTTTTATTGTAATAATAATTTGTTACATCTTTACAGTTTCATTGAAAAATTAGTAAAGTAGTATGTTTAATGTGTTAATTTAATGTGTGAAAACTATTTACAATGCTTTGAATATATTTCCTAACTTTGTTTTTCAAAGTAATGAAAATCGGGTAATTGTTCAGAAGAGCTACCTCATCTCTGATTTTAATAAAAGAGGGCTCAATCGACGCGTTTGTGCATGCCAAATTACTTTTTCCTCTGACAAAATCGTCGCTCTCTATTGCGAAGCGAGATATTAATAGACAAAGCTGAGGGCGTGTTAGGTTAGAAAATCTGTCATACCATCTATCTCTAGCTATGTAACTGGAGGGCTTTGCCCCCCAGACCCCCCTATCATGGGGGTGGGGGCTATAGTCTCTTGTGCTTAAGCTAAAGAGTGAATTTCTTACAAAAGACTACAGCCCTCACCTCCGTGATAGGGGGGTCTGGGGGGCGAAGTCCCCCAGTTACATAGCTAGAGATAGATGGTATGACAGATTTTCTAACCTAACACGCCCTCAACTTTGTCTATTAATATCTCGCTTCGCAGTAGAGAGCGATGATTTTGTCAGAGGAAAAAGTTATTTGACATGCACAAACGCGTCGATTGAGCCCTCTTTTATTAAAATCGGAGGTGAGGTAGCTTTTCTGAACAATTACCATTACTTTTGTTTAGTTAACATTATTTTTGTAGGTATAAATATGCCCAGCTGCTGTGTACCTGGATGCTCTAATCGCACCAGAAAAGGAGTAAAAATACATATGGCTTACTTTCCAAGAGATCCAGAAAGAAAAAAAGTATGGATCACTAATATAGGCAAAATTAATTGGGAGCCAAGTAAATATTCATATGTATGTGAAGTAAGTAATAAAAATCGATTTTTGTTAAAATAAAAATAAAAAGTTAAGTTAAAAATAAAAATATTGACTATATAAAAAACTTTATAGATACATTTCACAAATGAAATGTGGGAGAAAGTACGTATTGATGGAAAGCGGAAACTAAAATGCAATGCTGTGCCTACAATTTTTTCTACTAAATTAGTACGAAGTAGTACATGCATTACTACAAATGTGAGTTCTCTTTTTCTGTAAACCTTTGTTAAAAAGAGTGAGCAATGCATGTATGCTAATTTTAAAAAATATCTATGTAATTTTTAATTTTCAATCAACTTTGATTTGTATTCTTACTGTGACTTATTTAAGGATCAAATTAATGAATCTTTGGGAAGACAGCCTGATGTAACGTTTGAAGCATTGGAGCATCAAATATTAGTTCATGAAGACATTGACGAGAAAAGAAATGACTGTGATCATTCTGGGTCAAATGTTCCTGATGTTCCTACACCAATACCGAGTAATTTTATTATTTTCTATTACTTTTAACTACTTTCCGGAATTACTGAATTCAATTTATTGAAATATACTATTATGTTATTATTATTTTGTAGATTTATCCACTTGTAGTCATTCAAAAAAAAAATGCAATAAAGAAGCTGATGAAGTAAAAGAGTTAAAGAAACAACTGGAAGAAGCTAACAAAAAACTTGATTTAGCAAACAAAATAATCTTGAAATGTAACCGATCCAACGTTCAATTAAAGAAGCATATCAAGAGGTTGACTACAATGCAAAAGAATTCAAAGGCTCGACAGTACTCGAATTTAGAATCATCAATAAAGCGATTATTGAATGATGATCAAATTAAAGTTCTCACGAACCAATCCTCACGCGTTTGTTCATGGTCTAACGACACAATAAAAAGAGCACTTAGACTGAAGTTTTCCTGTGGTTATAATGGTTATCAAGAATTACGGAAGCAAAACATGCCTTTACCGTCCGAACGTACACTTCGAAGAAAACTGGAAAATATCAAATTTGAGGAAGGGATTTGTGATGATACTTTTAAATTGTTAGAAAACAAAGTGTCTCTGTGTAAGGACATTAGAGAAAGAGATTGCACGCTTGTGTTAGATGAAATAGCTATTGCACCAAGTGAACAATTTGATTCATCGACATAGTCATATTGTGGAATTGCATCTTTTTGTACATGTAATGGTATGTCTTTTAAAAAATAAGTTGTTATAATTTAGTAGTATGATTTTTTTTCTCTTGCACATTACGATCTATTAATTTATTAATATTAATCTATTTCTTCGTTTTTTTCTATTAGCATTCTTTCCATTTTCTGCATTTCTTGTATCTGTCTCTATACTTTTTCTATCTTTTTTCTTGTTTTGTAATGCATGTAGGTGAAAATGCTCAAGCTACGCATGATTTGATGTTTGTTCTTGCTGAAATTTTTTCACGTTGGAAACAAAATGTTGATTTCTATTTGACACCAGACAGTTATAACGGAGCATTGTCGCATTCTATCGCATTTTAAGTTATTCAAAAAGCTGAACTATCGGACTTTATGTACATATCATTGTAAACGATATGGGACCGAATAATTTAGCGATGTGGCGTAAATTTCTTATGAGCTTTACTGGACGCTATTTAACACTAATGAACTCAATTATCCTTCCTACTGATAGTAACCGTAAGTTTTGATTTATTCTGACTCTGGCCATCTTTTAAAAAACCTAAAATTCTGTTTATTTAATAACAAAACTATTACTTTGCTAACGAATTTCATGAGTACAAATAATCTTTGTTCTCCTGTGGTTGATTGCGCGCACATAAAAGAACTTGTTGACTTTTAAGAAAATTTACAATTAAAATTAATAATAAAAATTAAACGATTTTTCTAATGGCACTTTTAACAAAATGAAAGTTGTTAAAACCAAAAATTTTGTCCCGAAATGTTAGTGCTAGTTTAAACTTTCTGGCAATGCAAAATGCCAAAAAAAATTTCAGATAACAGCCTTGTTCATTGAAGACGCCTCAAAATGGTTTACATTAGTGACTTCACGTGCTCAAGTGATGTAGTCAAAACATCTCATTAAGGAAAATCTCAGGTAATGAATTATCTGAAAATAAGTTTCAAATATTAGTTGCGTTTTTAGAGTCTAGAATTATTTATAGAATTATTTCAAGAAATGATAGTTGGAAATGGTGCGCAGAATTAAAATTTATACAACGTGGAGTTATTATTATTACCAAGTCTATCATCTAATTGTCGACGTACTAAATCGATGAAAAAGGCTATGAATATGTTCTAACAGACTATCTGATTGTGTGGAAAATATATTTTCTTGTGTTAGAGCTAACAACCCAGCCCGAATGCTTTACAATTTAAACAGAATTTAAAGCGATATCAAAATATTTAAAGGCAGTCGGTAATTCTAGCTATAAAGAAAATGATAGAGTTATTACTGGTGATTTTTTAACTAAACCTATAAAGCAAGAAAAATTAAAAAAATGTCACTTGTACCTAATTTTCTTATAAAAGACAAACTTAGGAGACGTTGAAATCAATGGCTCTTATTCTGAATCCTTTTTTATCGTTAAAAGTGCTTTAAATGTAGTTTCTCAGCCAATCAGGTGGCTCCTAAGCCTTTTTTAGAGGTTCATTTATCATTAAAAGAGAACTTAGAATACGGGCCAATATGTTATACTACATCGCTACATACATTCTTTCCCGTATTACAAAATATAACATTTTATGCAAATTATGTTCAAATTCCGCTGGATCTCCTACATTCAAACTGACCTCAAATTATGGAAAATTCGTAAAATTAAAATGTTTTCGATGTGATATACTTTTTTTTGTTAACAACAAAACATTTGAATATTTTTACAAGATGGAAGTTGTTATTAGGCAATATCTTTCATATCTGAAAACAACTTTTCATTCGAAAAGATATGATTTAGTTAATTTTTTTAAAGAAAAAATGGAGTATATTAAATACGATAAAAACTGCCATAATATCAAATATAAAATAACGATGCGATTAATTAGATTTCGACTTCACCTTACAAGGAATCTTTGGCAACGCGGAAATTAAAAAAAATCTGAAATGTTGCAGAATTATAGAGCAGGAAAATCTAATAACTAAACAATTTTTTATTGGTGCCCGTTTTTGGTTTTAGGGGTAGAAACAACCCCTTGAAAGAAAAACGGTACTTTAATTTATGAGCAAATATTATCCAAACTATTAAAAATATGAAAAAATATTTCAGACAAATTTTGATAGTTTCAACATTATTTTATGATCACATTCTAAGATTTTTCGAAAATTTTATATTTTTCGAAATACACTTACCTTTTGTTTAATACTTGAAATTTAGTTTGCGGTGAAATTAAAGATTATTTTATACCGAATTTGACCATACATAGTGTCCCGAATCTCCATGATGACCGTAGTGAGAACGTAGAACGGGTTGAGGTGAGCAAGAAAGTCCTGTGTTGTTTTGTGATATTCGTAATAATAGTCGATATATTAATTAAAAAAGATTGGTGAATAATCACGCGCGATATGGTAGATGAGCTGCAGTGGGGCCGTCTGCCCTTGTATACTTATATATTAAGTCAAACTGAACAAAAAAGACCTCTATCATTTTGCAAATGACCACATAGATTTTTAAGTATTAAAAAAAATTGTTACATATATGATTGTATATCATAATGCATAAATTTTCTTTAATTAATATCTAAAAATCTATATGGTAATTTACAAAATGGTAAAGGACTTTTTTGTTCAGTTTGATTTATTGTATAAGTATACAACGGCAAACGACGCCACTGCAGCTCATCTACCATATTGCGCGTGATCATTCACCAATCTTTTTTAATTAATATCTCGACTATTATTGCGAATATTGCAAAACGGCACAGGACTTTGTTGCTCATCTCAATCCGTTCTACATTCTCACCAAGGATCATCATGAAGGTTTGGGACACCCTGTATATAATATAGTTATATTTCAAAAACTTATTAAAAAAAAAATTGAAAACTTATATATGCGTGCTATATTCATACCAGTCTTGCACTTTCTCTACTTAACAACGGTGTTTCTGTCTTTTTTCCTTCTTTCTTCATAATTTCTTGTAATAGATAGGGATGTAGACATATTTATTTATAAGATCATAATTGCGTAAATAACTTTTATTAATTACATATTTCATGTATATATTATAACAATATAAATAATAACAGAAAAAATGTGTCTCTGGTTTGCATAAGTTACCGATTAGATTGAATAATACAGCTAAATACAGCAATAAAATAAATAGTTGTACTAACACATTATAAGTACCTGACAACTTATGAAAATAAATACATTAATAGGCGTATAATAAAGTGCCACACTATTACGCATTACATGTCTGATTTATTATTATCCTTAATATGTGTAAATTCTAAATAATTTAAACAAATGTAAAGAGACTCCTGAACATATTCCACATAGCATTACTTTATCTCGAGGATATCCCAAAATGTCCCAGATTGATGAAGGCGATCCCAGGGATATTCCAGCAGGATATCGTAAGATATCATAAGATATCCTGTTAATATCTTACGATATCCTGACATATCAAAATATCTTACCATATACTTTGCCTTTGCATATTACCAAATATAATATATTTTACAATATTGGCAGATTATTTATTGCACGTAACGTTATATACATATAGGACTACATACTAGTAGTATGTCACTATATATCTTTACGATCGGAAATTTGCAAAGTGGTAAATTAATTTGTAAATTTAAATAAATTGTTTTCTGATAATAAAAGAAACTTTAATTTGAAACACAAAAAAGATACTTTTAATATTAGAAAATAATTTATTCAGATTTATAAAAAGATTTACTTATATTTCATCACTTTTAAATTTACTTGTATTTCATTTACTTTTAAAACAAGTAAACATTTACTTTTAAAACAAATAAATATTTATTTAAACACATTTTTTACATTTAAAAAACTATAGTTTTAAAAATATATTTTAAAATAATTATATTTTTAAAAACTATAGCTTTTTAAATGTAAAAACTGTGTTTAAATAAATATTTGTTTGTTTTAAAAGTAAATGAAATACAAGTAAATTTAAAAGTAATGAAATATAAGTAAATCATTTTATAAATATAAATAAATTATTTTCTAATATTAAAAGTATCTTTTTTGTGTTTCAAATTAAAGTTTCTCTTATTATCAGAAAACTATTAATTTAAATTGACAAAGTAGTTTATTTGTATTTTACTTACTTTTAAAACAAGTAAATATTTTTTAAATATACTTTTTACATACTTTTTAAACATACTTTTTACATTTAAAAGAATCTATTCTTTTTTTTTTAAATAAATCATTTGTTTTCGTACATGGATATACCATATGCATACAATATAAAGCGTCTCTCAAAGTGACAGTAGCGCAGTAGGTTAAGTGAACGACTCAAGAAGCAGGGATACTATTCCGTACATGCTTACCGACAATGGTCGAATCGGTAGACGTCGTTGCGCAGCTTTTCTATGGTATAAAATATACCGATCCGACAGTTGTCGGTAAGCGTATACGGAATAGTACCCCAGAGGTCTCAGATTCGAATTCTAGCTGGTAAACAAATTTTTCGAAGTATAATTTAAATTGAATTAAGTAGTGGGTAAAACAACTCAGACAGCACATAAAACTAAAATATATCTGAAAGATGTCTTTTTATAGTCGTCTTTTCGGTTAGACTAAAAGATGTCGAAAAGACGTCTTTCAAACATCTACACAACATAACATAATATATTTTCGTTGACGAAAAGACATACTTTTATTGTCATCTTTTCAATAGGATGAAAAGATATCTAAAATATGTCTTCTCAGTTATACCCAGATAGCCAAACCTGCGCGAACAGATTTCGAGCAGAGTTTACTTTCAACTTTTGATGGCAAATAGATAATAAATTTGATGCAGGATCTATTATATCAAATTTTGCTACCAAATTGCCGCCAGATATGCGGCAAAGCTTGTTGTCGGATAATTGTTGCAGATTTGCAGCAAAAACCACGCAGAGCTTGTAGCGATTTGACGGCAGATTGGCGGCAGAAACCGCGCAGACCTTGCTGCCCTGCAAGCTTTGCGCGATTTTTGCTGCAAATTTGGCAACAATTGCCCGACAGCAAGATCTGTCGCCAAAACCGTAGCCTAATGTAGGGGTGTATATCAGTTGGACACGGGGCAATTGGACACAGTCCAATCACAAGTCGCTGTTCCAAGGGACCCTACAAATGTCTCTAATCACACGGTGCTGTGATTGGCTGTGTCCAAATGCACCGTGTCCAAGTGCACCGCTCCCTAATGTAGACACAGATGGTTATGATTTTGCTGTGGGTTTTTGATCAAATTTTCTGCCAATCTGCGCGCAGTCTGCGCTCAATTTGCTCACTGGATATAAAAAGTTGACATTTGAACTGAATAAAAAGTTATCTGAAAGATATCTTACATGACTTTGTTTTCGATGCGCATATGAAAAAATTCTCATAATCTCTTAAGCCCGTATCAGACTACCGACTGCACAGGTCGATCCGACTGCCGACTACGACTTTCAATGGGCCAATCACAGTGAGGCGCCGACTCGTGATTGGTCCATTGAGAGTCGGCAGTCGGGTCGGCCTGTGCAGGAAAGATAAATATATTAGTAAAAATTGCAGTAAATTAAGTTAATATAATTTTTAAAAAATGAATACAGATGTTTATTTGTCACCAAACCGTTCCGCTTTTCCGCGCAAATTGTGCTCCATGTAATATAAGGAGAAATAAAATCGCGGAATAATAGCTCCTGCACACAGGACGCGGTAATGCTTGCCGCGCGGCGGAAGTTCGCATGACAACCAATCAATATGCTGCTTTCCGTAATAACCTTCTAGCTCTTACGAAAAAACAATATATTGATTGGCTGTGGCGCGGACTTCCGCCGCGCGGCAAGCATTACCGCGTTCTGTGTGCAGGAGCCATTATGACTAAAGTTCTGATTGCACGAAGGTTATTGTGACTTTAAGGTCCGTTCTATAATACGTCGTATGTCGCTGTCGTATGTCGGAGTGGGGAGCGGTGCACTTGGACACGGTGCATTTGGACACAGCCAATCACAGCACCGTGTGATTAGAGACATTTGTAGGGTCCCTTGGAACAGCGACTTGTGATTGGACTGTGTCCAATTGCCCCGTGTCCAACTGATATACACCCGTCGGAGTGCAGCCAATAGACCAATCAGAAGATTTGTTTTTGGAGACGAATTCTTTTCACTGGACCATCGACTGCGTTCCGACATCCGGCTTCGACATACGACGTATTGTAGAACTGGCTTACGGGCCTTCGCACACAAATTGATATAACAATAACGTAAGACGTACCGTAAACCTCCTGTCAGACTATAGATTAGGATTAAGGTTGAATTGAAATTTAGCCAATCAGAGAAAAATTTCCTAAGCTCAAGTTTGGTGAACTTTGCTCTGATTGGTCAATTTTCAATTCAATTTCAATTTTAATCCGTAATCTGATATGAGTTTAAAGCTGGCCACACACACTTTTCGTAACAGTAACTGTAAAGGATGTATATCAGTTGGACACGGGGCAATTGGACACAGTCCAATCACAAGTCGCTGTTCCAAGGGACCCTACAAATATCTCTAATTATACGGTGCTGTGATTGGCTGTGTCCAAATGCACCGTGTC